CTCTTATAAAATTATTTACCGATCATCTATTTCACACTTGTCTATTGAACTTTAGGTTGACCTCTATTTATTGAGTTGTTCATTCGTATATCTAATCAATTGTAACTCATAATCCTACATACCGATATTAGCGCACTTTAGTATTTCTACTCACCATCATATGTATATGTATATATACTGTCGTACAGCTATGAAAAAAATATGTTTATGTTTAACGTCACACAAAATCGAAGAATTACAGGTGAAAAGCAACAAACTGCCTGAAGAGGCAGGCAGCGAAGACACAACTCCAGGTGAACATAGAGAAGACGGAGGTGATGAGGCATAACCAACGAACAACAACAACCAGCACCAATTACCATCAACGGGAGAAGTTTGAAAGAGATTATTTATTACCTTCACTTATCTAGGAAGCATTGTTTCAACTACAGGCGAAACGGATGAAGATGTCGAAGCCAGCCAGAATCAGAAACGCAAGATGCACCTTCATCAACCTGAAATCAGTTTGGAAATCTTCTGCACTCCACAGTATAAAGAACAAGATTTAGATTTTCAACAGAAATGTGAAGTCCGTCAGTTCTTCTGTATGGGTCAGAAACTTGCACTGTGCGTCATGGAAAGCATTTCAAATAAGATACAGATTTTTATCCACAGCTGCCTTCACTTCATACTCAAGATCTAATGGCCAGAAAGGATAAGCAACAAGAATTTCTGGCTTGGAACAAACCAACCAAGAGCCGATTACTCAACAAATATGTAGGAAAAACTGGAGATGGATTGGGTACACTCTAAGGAGACTGTTGAATGACATCGCGCTTAATACAGACCATCACTCAAGTGGAATCCCAATGGTAAGCGACAAATTGGTCGTCGTAGGGTGATATGGAGGACTTCGTGTGAGGAGGAGATGAGAGATTATGAGCAATCGTAGGCCCAGCTAAGCAGGACAGCAGAAGACGGAAATGTGTTGCTGAAGCCCTATGTTCCACACGTAACCCAAGGGAACAGTAACTGTTTACTAAAAGCATGCACATGTTTCCGATTGGAAAGTATTTTAACTGCGCGAATTAGGCATAAAATGTTACACTAGATTTGGCATAACTGAAAGCTGTTAAAATAGGACTTCGTCAAGTATTTTGAGAAACGCCTTGATTGACAGATTTAAAGTGCCAGAAAATCTCACTAAACATACATTTTTTCAAGATAAATTACGATGCCACTGCAATATTATAATGCAGTTATCGTTCAGTGACTCATTAGGTTGTACTGGAAGTTCAACGGTGTTATGTTTATTCGTCCATCTGACAAAGGACTTCGGTTATTTTAAACACTTTAAATTGCTAACTGGTACCTTACTCCCAAGTAGAACATTATAGGCGTTCTATTTCATTATCCATTTGAGATCGAATACAAATAATCACTTAGAGATGAATGTTAAGCCACATGTACAGAAATTAATCATTTGAGAATAGCGCAAAATGAATTTTTATCGCACACAACCATATGTGGGATTTCATATGAAGATGAAGACAAATTGTCTATTGTCATAAAATTTCGTAAATAACAAAGACAATTAGTCATCAACGTTTTCTTGATATGTTGGTATTAGATGGTTGGAGGCAATCGGCAGGAAGCCTTGGACCTAGGTTTCGTGCTAGTTGGCACTCATCAGCAAGGCGTATCTGCAACCTTGAAGGAACTGATGTCCCTTCTGAGATTCGAACCCGCGTCACCCAGTGCTGCAGTCAGAGATGTTACCACTGAGCTATTCAGGCTCGCGACTGACCTCCTGTAGGACTGTGTTGGATATTTTTGATTGAACACTAGTCAGTAACTAGTGTAATGTGTCTAGTCCTATCTTCTTGATATTAATTGCAATACACTGCCAACAACGAATTCATGTAAGTTGTTGTAAACTGAAAACTATTTTGATTAGTTAACTGTTAAAAATAATCTCAGTTAATTGATGGATTTCTCTTGGCTTCTTGTAATCTCCGAGCTAAACGACTTAACTGAGAAAATTCCATTGTCCTCCTTAGTAACATCGTCAGTGATAGCTTCACTGTGAATGTAGGTTTGAGAATTCACCATTTACGGAATATTCGCACATCCTAGTGACCATCAATATGAATGAATGTCCCTATAGATTTCCTTATGAGTTTGTTCACTTATACTGATGCCAGTCATCAAGTAGACTTGATATTTGTTCAAATATTCCTGTCTTGAGACCTATTGTTTAGTGATTGATAATAAAACTTGATATGTATCAACATATCGATTAAATGCAAATCATTTCGAGTTCCATTTTTATGGGTTTTAATCATAGTAATAAGTACGGGAGGCTTCATGACGCAAGTGTACAGAATGTCAGCTAACGAAAACTAGTTAATGAATTATAATAGCATAAAACAAACAACTTAAGAGAGAAAAAATATAAAAACATTATTCAAATGATCAGGAACATCCTGAAATACTTTTTTCTTGGGGATAAAATAGGGGTGACATTTTATTGGTGTCTTCTTAAAAAAGTGGATATCCGAGAAAATGGTCATTATTAAAAAAGTTTTTGTATTTCCCAATGAATGAAAAACAAAACGATATTGTTTTTCCTGACGTTTCGCTATTTAATGCTAATAGCTTTATCAAAGTATTATTAAACCAGAATTTAAAAAATCTCAGCATATATACAACAACTTAATAGTCGTTCATCAGTATGAGGTGGTTTTTGCGTTGTTAAGTTGGCCAATTGGTAAAGGTAATAAAGAGTTAAGAGGTGAGAAAATAGACTTAGGTCAAGTTAAAAGGACACATTGAAGGTCAAAATAACAAAGAAGATCACTAACAGAGGTAATAGTGCATCTGCCCCGGTATCGAAACAAAGTTTACAAAACCAGGTGTAGATTGTTGGATTTGATAAGCGTATAAAATTACAATATTAGCGTGTGTTTACATAATGAAGTCGCTCGTCACATTCGTGTTGATTTTGACATTTCATGGGGGAGGCGGGTGTTGTAACCAGGTCAAATTCTGTTTTAGTCCATCATTCCTATTCAAACAATTTGGATTCCATTTGATGTGAAGTGCTTTTGGTATCAGACGTTCTTTGTGATTTCTGAAACTTTTCTGGATTATTTCAATATTGTCAAAATCAGTTTTGTGACCTGATTCTATAGCGTGTAGACCTACGGCTGGTCGAACAGGTGATCTACAGTGTTCATTTCTTCTGATTTTGATTTCTCGCGATGTTTGTCTGACGTATATCGCATCGCATTCCAAGCATTTTATTTTATAGACACACTTAGAGAATCCTTATGGATTTAGTATTTTATATGGACAAGATTGCTTTCTAGTGTGTCTTATGCTTTGAGGAAAACTCTGGCGTTGTGAGTACTCTTTTGATTTCATCTGACGTCTCTGATCTAAATGGAATGATAACTGTTGAGGCTCATGTTTTCAGAATACGTTTTTGAACATACTCAATGTCGGTGTTGATTTTGTTGATGAAGTTCTTTATGCAGCTATTTTTCGTGAGAGTCTCAGTATTTTCTGGTATTTCTTCTTCTTTTTCCTTCTCATCCGTTACCAAAGAGTGTGGTCATCTAAGAAGACTTGAAATAACTGATACATCTGCGCTTGGCTTAGACATAGATAATCTGAAAGAGTACTTTATCAAAAGCTGTCTGTCGTCAGTCGAACCAAACAACTTATAATTATTCTTTGAAAAGACAAGAAGAATCGTCCTAACTTACATGAAGAATACTACCCAAATCACTGCTAGAATTGTGAAACCTGCTGAAGTGGATATCTCTCACAAACCAACACAGTCTTTTCACTCCATAATCTCTAAAGCAAAAGACCTAACAGTAAAAGAAGACAAAACCAACGTTGCCCATAAAATACACTATATGAATTGAGGAAAACACTATATCGTCCAAATCGAACATCCACTTCATCGTCTCATTCATAAATACAAAATAACAATCAAAAGACATGACATCCATTCCTTCACATCAGTTCAGATGGACAATCAGTAGTGCCACTTCAACTTGGATGACATAAGTAGCACAAAGAATGCTCAATGAATTCCTAGTACTCAAATTAACTAGCAATTAACAACCATGTTCATGCGGATAAAGTTTGCCAATCGATAAAGAATAAGTGGCAAGACCGAAAGGTAAAACAGATATTGGGTCCACTATTGGATCAGTATCAATACAAGTGAACAAAATCATAAGGAAATCTATGGGAACATTCATTCATATTGATAGTTACTGGGGAATGAGAATATTCCATGCATGATGAATTCTCATGCTTACATTCACCCTGAAGTTAACACTGATGATGTTATTCAGAGGGACAGTGAAGTCATCTAGCTCAAAGAACATAATGACGTCGAAAACACCCAACTAGGCTTCAAATATTCTTAATTATCCCAGTAATTTCTTAGAGAAAATATCAAGTGAAATACTATTTTGCATGGAGGATTTCATCATGAGCTGACATCAGTTAGAGAACCACTGGAAAACCTGGGAGTACTGCCAGACAGCTGTTTCGTCCTAGTTTGGGACTCTCCATCAGTACGCATCCACCGAGGTACGAACCCAGGACCTTCTGGTTACAAAGCGAGCTCGCAGACCATTGAGCCACTGGGACCTGATCCAATGGTCCTTGAATTCTGACTTCTGCCAATTCACGACATGGCGCGACCATTTCGCAATGTCTTCTTCGATGTAATACTGCCTCATCTTCAACCTGCTGTACGCTACTGGTCACGGCTTCCCAAAAGAACCCCAGGTTAACTGCTGAAGAGTTCCATTCTAGGATGAAACAGCTGTCCAGTACTCCCAGGTTTTCCAGTGGTTCTCTAACTGATGTCAGCTTATGATGAAATCCTCCATGCAAACAAACAAAATCTTCACAAAACCAATACTTGAAAATACTATTTTATTAATTATTAACCCTAACCACTAATCCAATTTTTCATTCCCCTATTGATTTAGCCGATGATTTCACCATGTATACAAATCATTTTGAAAATATACAAAGAGAATATCAATGCTGTGGAGTACATTCTATAACTGACTGGTTCGGTATAACAGATTATCAAGAAGTGAATAATAATACATCAATAAATCAACATCCATGGAAGACTATTACATATCATATACCCAAAAGTTGTTGTAATCCAGAGAAAATATTAACCTGTTCAAAGCAATTTACTGATGCAATCGAATTAAAGTCTTATCAAGTCACTGGTTACCCATCCTTTCATTATGAAAGCCTGCCATTGTATACAGATGGTTGTTTGAATAGAATAGTTGATGATGAAAAAACAATAATGTATGATTTTATTACTAAATATAGTCTAATCAGTATATGCCTACATGTGATACGCTTAATCACTTGTTATGCAGTCTATCATCAAACCCGACCAACTTATAAAAATAAATCCAATCAAAACCAGCGGTATTCTGTTAGAAAGTCGAATGATTTCACCACCTTTGAAAATCTACGTTATATATCTAATGCTCAGCTATCATCTGCCTGTCAAAGTTATTGGTTATTTGGACAGCTAGCCAATCTTCAAGTACCATTTGCAAAGTTTAAATCCCAATGGTTAGAAAAAGGAATAAGAATAGGATGGATGTTAGTTATTAAGAATAAATATTATATGACATTTTTACGTAGAATACAATTTAAAGAGAATAAAGTGTCTATGAGTCGGTTCCGTCAATTTTTACGCAATTGGTTACCTGCTTTCGAAATGATTGTCTACACGGATAGTAGTGATAAAGGAGAGATTGAAGCGAATAAAATATACGGTGGTTATGTTGCCCAACTATGCAGAATAATATTCTTCTTGTTATTCGGCGTACTTGCAAGTGAAATTATGCTAGCTACAATTATACCTTTAAAGGCTAAATCTTTGGAATTACCAACTGGTGATAAAAAGATCCCAGATGAGATAATTCGTAGAGATGCTGAACTCTTAGCACAGGATGTTATCTGGATAACTAAACTATTTATACGAGTAACAATCATTCTTGCTGCTATAATATCTCGTAGATTTCGATGTTTACTACTTTTAATTATTCCTAATTTAGCACAGACTATTGGTCTATCATATTTAGGCAGTGAATTATTACATGTGTCTGTAACCGGACCGGTGAGAAATTCAGAGCATAATATTATTTCAGCAGCGGAATCTTTGACATGTTTTATGAAGTTGGCGTATAATATGACAAAGGATGCAACTGATTTTCTTGAAAGGGGAAAAGAAGAAATTTCTGAAGAAGGCGATATGAACTTTATGGAAACAATTAATAAAAGATCTGAACAAATTAGAGAGAAAATAAATCAGTATAATGAATCATTTGAGAAAATCAATCGAGAAGTAAGTTTAGAAAAGGAGGTAAGGTGGTTAAAAAAAGAAAAGTAAAAGCATAACTACTTTGGTCCATTTGCACTGATACAAATGTAATAGGTAATAAACAACCAGTAAACAATAGTTCCTGATTGCAGGCTTAACTACTGTAGTCTGCCATAGTGTCCGATTTTCAGTTTCATGTGACTTGCTATTAATATTTGCCTGTATCATTCAGCTTCTCTTATTATCAAACCTCAAACATTTCTGAAGTACATCTTAGGTTTGATTACGAGCTGATATCAGTTAGATAACCACTGGAATACCAGGGAGTTCTAGACATCGGTTTCGTCCTGGTTTTTGGCTACTTAGCATAACGCACTCCCTGGTAGTCAAACATAGTGCTCTACGGTTATAAGGCAAGCTCATTGACTATTCAGCCATTGGAACAGAATATAGTCATCCATGAATCCTAATTTCTGCCATTCTGTGATCGGGTTCCAGTGGCCGAATAGTCTGCTAGCTTGCCTTCCAACTGGGAAGTCCTGTGTTCGAACACCAAGGAGTGCGTACTGATGGGCAGTCACAAACCAGGACGAAACAGCTGTCTAGAACTCCTTGGTTTTCCAATGGTTCTCTAAATTATATCGAATACCTGCAAACTAACACTAAATTCTTAGGTATTATGCTTTGTTGACTTTAATGGCGCTAATTTTTACGCAGCTGAGATTGGCAGAAGTCAGAACTTATGGGCTATTGAATTCTGTCCCACTGGTTTAGTGGTCAGTGGGCTCATTTCATAATCTTGAAGTCCTTAATTCAATTCTTGGTGGGGTTTCGGGTGAGTACTGTGAAGAGGCTTGACCTAGGACGAAACATCTGTCAGGTACCTCCTCATTTCCATTTGTTCTCTAATTTATGAGAGTTCATTGTCCTACTTGAAATTAGAGTTTAAATTAACTTGGAAAACTAAGAATGAATAAACTGTATGCCATCATTTTACTTAATAACGAAGACGATGTTCAAAAAAATATAGAAATCGGAAGCAGTCTTTGTTTGTTTTGTGCTCCTAACTGTTCTAATCCTTTCACCTTTTCAGGAAGTCTAATATGTGTGAATTTACACTGCTACCTCGATGCTCCTTTTTTACTTATCTGGGATACTTGTACAGCTCAACAAATTATGAACTTGAAAGGAGTGAAAACCAACACTGCATCAGATTAACATGAATTCATTTTAATCCGCGGGTTCTTATCAGCTGTGAAAAGCTATGTTACTTATGACATCGTTTTTGTTTCATTCCTTTGCGCTTTGAGTGAAACACAGGGCTTCAACCCGAAACAACGAATTTTCACTAACGGGTTTGGGACTGATAGCCGCACGCCCAACCTTCTGTCTTTACCAGCTAATAGAGGTTTATGATTGCGTCGACCAGGAATCGAACCCAGACCACGTGCGTGGTTGACCGGAGTTCTACACCTGGACCACCGACACTAATAACATCATATTATAAGTAAAGATTGAATATAACTTAGTTTATTTTCACGGTGAATTTCATCACGAAGCTACATTAGTTAAAGATCATTGAAAATCAGAGAGCATTTCACAACTGTTTTTTCCTAGTTTAGGATACTTCAACAGTGTGCACTCACGTCCGCAGAAGGAATTGAATCAAAATCAGTGATCTCCAACTGATATTGACATTACAGGATTTTCATCATGAGCTGACATTAGTTAGATAACCACTGGAAAACCTGGGAGTACTGGACAGTCGTTTAGTCCTAGTTTGGGACTCTTCATCTATACACTCACCGGGATTCGAACCCAGGACCTTCTGGTTACAAGGCGAGCTCGTATACCAATAAACCACTGAGACCCGATCCAATGGCCCATGAATTCTAACTTCCAATGGTTCTCTAACTAATGTCAGCTCATGATGAAAATCCTGTAACCAATCAAATCCCTACAAACCAACACTTCATATTGACATTATTGCAAATCCCTTATTTCATTTGTTAGAAATCAACAATGTCATTGAGTTAGGAGTTAGATATGTATTAGAAATAAATTACAAGGATAACTTGTAAACCTGGGTAAATAAGAATCTCTAACGCGGACACTTTCATTCCTTAATTATGGTATATGAAAATAATCCATTCGGTTTGCAAGGAAATAGGACTGTCCGGTGAACTAGTGGAAAAAGTCTTATTAGCGACTGAAACCAACTTGTTGTTTCGGTGGTTACTATGGTCATTACTGTTAACTTTACACCTATTCAAACAACTTCATAAAATATTAGTATTTGAATGTTTGCATTATGCCATATAACTGTTCTGCAAAATACGTGAAAAATCAAGTTGTGAGAGTAAATGAGAAAATGGGACTACTCTAATACAATCAAAAGACGACATCCTACGGAAGTTATAAAAACGTTCTGAACACATAGGCTAGTAAGTAAGCAGTTATACTAACGCTCTTTCCACTCTATGCATATACTGAGTATGTGTATGTAACTGCAAGTCTAAAGAGAAGGAGTAAGTGCCTGTGCCTATGAAAAAATGGTTTTGAAGATTACCTCCCCACATTTTGCATACTCTAGAATACATACTAATAGGTGTGCATTACGTATACTGATAAAACGATAGAAACAAATGTAATACACAGACACATATGTGAAGATTTTATCAGTCAAAGAAATGATGAAAACAACGGTGATATAAGTGTAATATTACTTCGTGAAGGTGCATTAAGAAGATTTTACATCATGTTAATGATGTGTTACCAAAGTACCTAATGGCTTTTGACTGAAATGATACTCCACATTACTACAATGGAAGATTACTTTCTTCGATAAATCATATCATCAGTCAATATATATAATATATTTAAAGGAATAAGCTGTTTCTACGATCTAGGAAATCTTTTCTCAAAGTGTAAATTTACCCTCTGTTCACAAAATATGAATGTCACTTATACTACTCATAAATAGATTGAGTGGTATATACAGTAATATCTTCAAAGAAGTAATAATAAACTATGTAGCCATCGCATCATAATCGAACAAACCATGGAATGGCGATCAAATCTCTACCTCAACTTCATAGACTTTGAGAAGGCCTTCGACAGCGTTGACCGCGAAGTAATTTGGAAACTACTCGAGTACTACGGCGTACCCCAAATATTCATCAACCTTATTCAACAGCTGTACGACAACGGCACATGTCAAGTGATCCACAACGGAAAACTCGGCCAGGCGTTTGGAGTAAACACAGGAGTCAGACAAGGGTGCTTATTATCACCAATGATATTCCTAATTGTGGTGGACTGGATTATGCGTCAGACACTGGGAAACGAGAAGACAGGGATATCCTGGACCGACGTGAAGAACCTAGAAGACCTGGATTTCGCGCGTAGATGATTTATGTTTGATGTCACACAAAATCGAAGACTTACAAGCGAAAACCGACAAACTGGTCGAAGAATCAGCAAAGACAGGACTCCAGGTGAACAAAGACAAGACGGAGGTTATGAAAATAACCAACCAACCAACAACAACAACAGCAGCAAAATCCAGCACCAATCACCATCAACGGGAGGGATTTGAAAGAGGTTACTTCATTCACTTATCTAGGGAGCATTGTCTCAACTACAGGGTGAACGAACGAGGATGTCAAATCGAGCGAGAATCGGGAAGGCGAGAAACACATTCATCAACCTGAAACCAATCTGGAAATCTTCGTCACTCAGCCTGCATCAACAACAAAATTCGGATTTTCAATACAAACATCAAGTCAGTCAGTTCTTCTATACGGATCAGAAACTTGACGGCGGGTCACAAAGAATATTTCCAACGAGTTGCATGCCTTTATCAACAGCTGTCTTCTCTCTATACTGAATATCAGATGGCCGGAAAGAATCACCAACAAGAAACTATGGGAACAAACAAAACAAGAACTAATCGCTCAACAAATATGCAGGAGAAAGTGGAGATGGATTGGAAACTCGCTGAGGAGGCCACTGGGTGACATCGCGCATCAAGCCAGTGTTCAAGCGGAACCCGAAAGGGAAGCGGCAAGTGGGACGTCGAAGGGTGACATGGAAGAGATCGTGTGAAGAGGAGCTGAAACCGTATGGATTAACATGGATGCAAGTGAAAAGTAGAGAAGACAGAGGCAAGTGGAGACGTGCAGTTGAAGCCCTATGTTTCACTAGGAACCCAAGGGAATAATAATAATGTACTCACAGAAAAGTTAGTCAGAAAGAAAGGCAAAAAAGAAGATTACAACTTTCAGCAAAATTTAATGAAACAACAGATAATGATGAAGAAAACATGCTTAAGATAGAGTAGATGAGATTATTTGAGCATTGTGGAATCACTGTCCATTATATTTTGTCATAGTACACATCAAATTTATCGTCAACAGCCTTGTTCTCTGCATTAACACTTCAAACGTTGCATTTGCTCAGTCCCTCTTGAACAAATTACTAGATTTATGAAATTAGTGATGGTTTTTATCTTCATTAAGGTTGACAATTATCTAAAAGAAGACATTCTGTTGGGGGGGATAAAGTCTAGGAAGTAGTATTTGTTGTTTTTACACCTTTGATTGTCTGAAGATTCTTTCAGCCACATGATGTTATGGTGAAAACAACCAACCAACCAACCTAATGGTAGCTGTCATGCTCGCCAGCCATTCAGGTAGTCCGGGGTTCGATTCACGGCCAATGCACTCCTTTATCTCGCTAAGCCAGTAGTAAGACTGGTAAAGAGGGAAGGTTGGGCATGCGACTAGCAACCCCATCCCGTAAAAATTAACAGCACTGCTACTGAAACTTCAAGCCTGTATCTTGAAGCTCTATGTTCCACTAGGAACATAAAGGAATAAAAGAATGAGAGCTGTCGAAACCCGAACTTCCATGTGTGATATAAATCTAGTTACATAAAATATACGATAAATGTGAAGACAGTTGGAAAATTTTCAAGTTTTTGGTTTGCAGGGATGTGATTGGTTTCAAGAGTGATTGGTCAGGAGGAAAAATACTAACCCATGACACTGAATGGCAGTCGCAATATCTATCGTGAATTTGTAGAAGTTAGAATTGACGGGTCATTAAATTCTATCCTAGTCGTTGGATGGTCAACAGTCTCCTCTAGCAACCTGAAGGCCCTGCGTTCGTTCGCAGGGTGTGATCATGGGCGTTTACTGTACAACAGTCCCCAAAAAGGATGAAAGAGATGTCCAGTATCCGCTCATTTTCAATGGCTCTCAAAATTTATTCAGAATGTGGTCAATCTTGATAGTTCAAAGGATTTTTATCTGGACCAAAGTCCTTATTGTGGAACTGGGATGAAAGTGAGCCGAATATCTAAGCGGTGGAAATATATACTGATGAAGTAATTAGATTTAAGTGATGAACAGATTGTCCTTCTGCTTCTACTGAATTATAATCAAGATTTCAGTCTTGCGGTCTTGAAATCCAGGGTGATATCAATTATTGTTCATTTTAATAATTCACGAGGTAACGGTAACTGTGTCACATGTTTTGGATCAAATTGTCCTCTATCTGACCAATATGTATGATCCTATTTAGCGTGAATTATACAAATTTTCAAGTATTGGTTTGGTAGGGATTTTGTTTAATTGTATGGAGGATTTCATCATTAATCTGATGCTCACTAGTGACTGGCCCTATTCAGGCAGTTAACCTGGGGTTCTAGTGGGAAGCCGTGACCAGTAGGGTACAGCAGGTTGAAGATGTGACAGTAACTCATCTAAGAAGACATTGGGAAATGGTCGCGCTATGTCGTGAATTGGTAGAAGTTAGAATTCAAGGACAGCTGGATTGGGTCCCAGTGGCTCAATGGTCTACGAGCTCGCTAGCCTTGTAACCAGAAGGTCCTGGGTTCGAACCTCGACCGGTGGGTGCGTACTGATGAAGAGTCCCAAACTAGGACGAAACAGCTGTCTCGCAGTACTCCCAGGTTTTCCAGTGGTTCTCTAACTGATGTCAGCTCATGATGAAATCCTCCATATAATTATACAAATGCCATTAACAAATTTATAAAAATCAAACAACGATAACATGTTTAATATAGTGTTGCTTCATGACAGATTTCCTGAGGTTCAAATAAGACTCGTTCACCTATAGATGGTGAATCTAAGATGGGAAAGTCACAGAAATTCTAATTTGATTTCTGAATTCATGTCGTAGGATTTAAAAAGGTTCGCCGTTAGACACTTTTGACAAGTTGCCAATACTTGTTTGTTTTCAATGACTCTTAAATTGACATTGACCAATGATGACATTCATAAAGAAATATAGAAGTAAATTATTTATCATTCCATTTGTTCTTACGTAAGTTATTTTTTACTGCGGTATTCACTTGTACATACCTTTTTTATATTGTTACAATTGGATATCATATTAATAGATTCAAAACTACCATATTCACCTTCACTTATCTGGGAAGCATCGTTTCAACTACAGGCGGAAGGGATGAAGATGTCAAAGGCAGTCAGAATCGGAAAGACAAGATACGCCTTCATCATTCTAAAAACAGTTTGGAAATCTTCCGCACTGACTCGGCATAAAGAATAAGATTCGGATTTTCAACACCAATGTCAATTCGGTCCTTTTATACGAGTCAGATACTTGGCCAGCGTGTCACGAAAAGGATTTCCAACAGGTTGCAGATTTTTTATCAACATCTGCCACCTTCGCTGGCTCTATACTGAAGATCAAATGCCCAGCAGGCCGGAAAGAATTAGTAACAAGAAAGCCTGGGAATAAACCAACCAAGAGCCGATCACTCAATAAAAATGCGGGAGAAAATGGAGATGAACCAGGCATACATTGAGGAGGCCGCCGAATGAAGTCGCACGCCAGGCCCTCGAATGGAATCCAAATGGGAAGCGATGAGTGGGTCGTCAGTGCGAGGGTGACATGGAAGAGATTGTGTGAGAAAGAGATGAGAGAGTTTGGACAGCAGGAAACAGAACAAAGTGGAGATGTGTTGCTGAAGCCCTATATTCCACTCGGAACGCAAGGGAATAATACTAATACTAATACCACATTCACTTTAAGTGGCCGAATCTGTTTATTATTACTATTCCCTTGATTTCTGATTGGAACATAGACCTTCAACAGAATATCCCCATTTCGTCCTGTCTCCTGCAGTCCTCTTCAACTGACCCCAGGAATGCCCATAAGCTTTCATCTCCTTCTCATACGATCACTTCCATGTCATCCTCAGACCAAAGCCGAAATCATCCTCTCTCATTCGTATTCCACTTGATTACCTGATGAATAATTTCACCCAACGGTCTCTTCAGCATATATCCGATATATTTCCATTTTCTTCAGGATATCTGTTGAGCAATAAGTTCTTGATTGATTGATTCGCAGAATTCATTTATGAATCAAGTATAATATACAACACTGTTTACTCTTTTTCTGCTTAGATTGAAAAAGCTAAAATTATGGCTCAACGTGCTGAAGCATTTCTTGATACAGCTGAAAATAAAACAAATGTATACGCTCGTATGTCTGCAGAAATGGCTAAAAAAGCTAAAGACGGAATGATCAAAAGAGCTGAAGCAAGTAAAGACAGTATAAAATCTTTATTGAAAGGCAAACACACAAATGATAGTAGCATTCTGAAGAAATTAAGTGATCGTATTGAAAATGGTTTAAAGCTGGAAAACAGTATAGAAAATCGAATGTTAACCACTTGTATGGTATTTTATAAAACACGAGCTACAATTTGTACCCAATCATCTATTGCAGCCTGTGGTCGTCTACAAACTATTCTCATCGCTACATTCTGGTATCCAATATTAATTAAAAATGCTTGTATACGAAAAGTTGCTGCTGGTTCAGCTTGTCCAACTAATCAAGCACTTGAAGAAGCTGTGGAACAATGCAGTTCAACTTTATCAAAAATAGGCTTTACTAGTGGATTTGGCTCGTCATTTTTACAAGCTCAAGATGAGTTGAGTAAAATTCGTCAAGCATTTCAGTTTACTTTTGGACGTCAGCTACTGCGTACAGAAGCGATCAGTAGTTGGATAAGTCAAAAGTCTGGTGCAATTAATCGTATCGCCAAGCGTACAAAAGAAATTATCCATGTTGTCTTCGAGTTAAGTCTAATATTATCAGTTCTATTGAAATTATTATGCTTTTTAGTATTTTATAAATCGCATAAATACATTACAAACTATCTAATGGATCCAAACTTTGATAATATTTACATTGAATCAACATTTGAACAAATTGATCACAGGCGTTCAATGGAATTGCGTGAAACACTATTACCATTGAAAAAATATGAACTGAATAATGTTATATGGCATCAAAAGGTTTATACTAAGAGTGAATTACGCCGGGTTATTAGAAATCTTGTCAAAGTTATCGGCTTTGGTTTTTGTTTAGCTGTATTATTTACTATAGACAGGTATATGACAGAAGCAATACAAGTATTAGATGAGGTAGCGAATACAAAATTTAAAATTGGCGGTGAAGCGATTGATAATGATGAAATAGCAGAAAGAACAATTACAGCAGATAAAAATCCCGTAGGTATCCACGGTGATGGAATGTTCACTGAATTATTAAATAAAACAATGAAAGTTATACAGTATATAAGTAAAATAGACTTGGCGTATGATTTAAGCGTATGCAGTCCTAAGGCTGAACACATACACTATGAATATTTGATACGTTTTAGTCTATTATGGGCTTTAATGATAGTAATCTGTCTACTATCTGGTTATATGTTGCGTATACGACATAAACTATTGGATTTCTTTTACCCACATCGTTTAAAACGTCGAGTTATACATTTGTATAATATATTGCTGGTGAACAGGCGACGTCGAATGACTATAGCACGTAATCTGTTAGTTCATCAATCACGACAAAATCGATTACAAGAAGCAGCTGAAGAAAGTTCACAATATTCACTTATTTATAATATTAATCCATTTCTAGGTAATTTATTAAAACAAAATAAAGTGAACTGTATTGTTTGTATGGAACGTTATCCAGTTGATAAAAAATCATTGATCTATGTATGCCCATATGATGATACAGCTATCTGTCAGTATTGTTTAACTACTCTATTCAATAAGCATAAAGTTTGTATTACTTGCCTGGATAGAAATTATACCCGATTGGATAAAATTAATAAAAATATTTCAACATTAAAAGAGATAATTGTCAATGATCTACCGGATCCTTCACTTATACGCTGAATAGGATTGTCTACATTCATGAAGGCTGGTTGAAGTTGAACAGACAGGTAGTTATTGTCAATGAAAATCGAATATTTTTCCAATACACATATGGAACGTCTAACAGTTTACTTTGAAAGTTACCAAAAATTTTGTTCATGTTTAATATGTTTCACTTATTTGTAATGTTTTGTTAGCTTTCCAATAAATAATACACTGAGTTTTTTCCTTATCAACTGTTTCGTTTAACGACCAAGTCAGAAAGGAAAGTTATAGAGAGAGAAGTACTGTTACGTATTGACCCTGGTAAATAATTTGAAAATTTGGACTGTTGCACAATACAGATCGTGATTATTTGTTATCACCTAAAGAAGTCTGTGTGTCTGTCAGTGGTAGAATGCTTACCAAATGCGTCCGTGTTCCTGGTTCGAATGCTGACCGAATTACTCAAAAACCTCACTTAGGCGGTAGTAAGCCCGGTAGAGAGGAACAGTTTGGCGTGAGACTGGCAAACCTACCCCGTAAAACAATCCCACCTCTAGTGAAACCTCAACACTCGAGTTTGAAGCCCAATGTTCCACTTGGAAAGCAAAGAAATGAAAAAAAACACCTGGAGAAGTCTGAAATAACATCAGGTAGAACAGCAGTCTTTTTCACCTATTAGATAAAATGTGCCTAGTAGAAGTGAGGAAATTATGTTATTCTCTGGTACTGACACTGGAGGCTTTTGGATCGTAGTAATTATGTTTGTGAATTTAAAAATTTAGAATAATGAAAGTTGTACTCAAAATCTAGGCTATCGTAAGCTCCATGAAACTATTAGAATCTAGTTTTGGCTAGTTAGAAGTTAACAGCTAAATCTTAGCATTGTAAATCCTCTAGTTTTCTGACATTCCACGCGTTATGAGATTCCAGTGGTGGATTCGAGTGTTATTCAATCTCTTCAATAGTACCTATTTTATGAAATCTATCATTATACATGCTGTTTTTTTTTATAAATAGCGCTTAATGATATAGAAATGAAGGGTCTGAAAGGTTCACCATTGACTGTAACTCATGTAAACTTTATTTATTTTATATAATTTGAGCCAAGTTAAACTTTATGCAGCAGTTAGTACCATTTGAGTACGACTATACCATTGACCTGGGAACGCTCAGTGAGCAAGTTAGTGAAACCTGGCAAATAATATTGTAATCACGAATAAAGCATGCTTAATGGAGTGTTATGATATTAAACGGGATTTCTGGGATGTTTCAGGTTAGGTTTTCGAAAGATTCAGCTAAGATTTAGACCAACAACAGGTTAGGGTAAGGTTAACCTAATGAGGGAGATATTAGGTTTGGTTCGAGTTAAATTAGGGTTAGTTTAGGGATATTTTCACCGTACGGTTGGATGAAAGGAAGATTAGGGTTGCTGTTAGGTTTAGAAAACCTAGATAATTACATGTACAGGATGTGGTTCAATTATTCTGTTGACAGTCTAATCCAGTACTGAGAGGAATTTTTGTCACATGTCACAGAGAAAGGTGTCCTGTGTATTTCATGCCTTTAGTTCATTAATTTCATGAATATATGTATTTTATACGTTAAAATTGCCTTTATCATGTGATTAATGAGCTCAAGGTTATTTGATCATTGATGCTTACTGGGGCTTGAAGTTTAATTTTACCATTATTAGCTTTGAATTAACGTTTTTCATAATAGGAAATTATTGTTAGTTAAAATAAATGGCGCGAAAGGAACCTCAAGTAATTTTTTAAAAGCATACAGAAGCTCATGTGATGTCTTACTCTCTGATTGTGTCTGATTTAGCAAAAACGATAGAAATGTAAGCATAAAGACTGAAGCTTCTTATTGCTAAAGTAAATAAAATTAGACAAGTTGACTTCTCAGGTTATCTGAATTTGGTAGATTTCATGGAATTAATGAAAGCCAATAAATATCTGTTTTGTAACAGTTCAAAACTTGTCAGTAATCTACACTCCTGACAATTCAGAGGATCAGGACCAGAAACATAGAGTTATGAGGTGAGTACATCGCTGGCCAACCGACAAATCCATAATTTACAACTTATGCTAGTCAGTGACTGATGAGTTTCTATCATAAGTTGTTTTTACGAGTTGATCACGGATTGATATCAGTTAGAGAACCATTGAAAACCAGCAAGGAGTACTGGACAGCTGCTGTTTCATCCTAGTTTGAGAATCATCGGCAGTACGCACCCACTAGGATTCGAACCCAGGACCTTCCTGTTACAAGGCAAGCTCGTATACCATTCAGCCACTGGGACCCCATTCAATGGCCAGCACATGAATTCTTACTTCTAACAATTCGTGATTTATCGTGACCCCAACCATTGTCGTTGGTGGGACATCCATCCACACACGTGACATCTAATTGGACCTCACTGGTCACGACTTATCACTAGAACTGCAGGAAACTCCATCCTGTAGCAAGTCACTAGCGAGCATCAGATTAATAACTAACACTTACAAACTATAGATTCCCATTATAGATTTCAAAGAAATGATTATTGAGCAAAGAGTATTCTACAGTTATATGTCCACATTCAGGGATAATTGATAATGACAACATTAATGTATTTTAATAACATCCAGTCACTAAGATCAATAATCTATGCGATATATGTGTATAACTAGTTACTACACTACAGCTTAGAACATGCGTATATGATGATATCAATAAATATACTATTCAATTGGATGTCAGATATCAAAGTCGATGATCGCGAAGAACAATGAATATATATATATATATTGTTGTGAATGCGTATGACAGTTAATGTTCATATAAAAATTTATTCGGTCCAATTATACAATTTCATATGAATGTATGATAACATCAAAAGCAGAGAGAGAAAATGAATGAGAGAGACAGATGCTTGTGTGAGTGTATGTCAGTTTTTTGAAAGTGAATAAATTATGAAAATCAAAAAGCTTTATCCATTTGTCCTCCATGATCAATTACTATGATATTGGATGTTCAATAGGATAATATTCTATTTGTCGTGGATTGTCATATACTCATTTTTTGAAAGGTACTAACTACTAACAATGTAATCATATATAACTCTTGGATTATTTTTGGATATTAATGATTCTACGCTATTAAATTAACATTCATATGGTCAATAACGATTATGCCTTAACTAATATGGATTTATAACAACAGAATCTGATGAATGAGTTATCGGAGAGAATATTCTTTGATTATTAACCGGTGTTTATAGGTTTTCAATAGAATCAACTCAAACAGACCTGATAGTTAGATACTAATCGACATAGAAATGACGTATGAAATGTTTGGGAATTGAAAAGTTCTTCACATCTAATTGTTTGAAAAGATTTGAACACTAGGTATATGATATTCATTATTGTAAAAGATTGTGTATTTTCTAACGAATGAAACGACAAAACGATATTGTTTTTACTGACGTTTCGCCATCTAGTGCTAATTGAAATCTAGGTCAGAAGAAATGAACACTATAGAGCCATTATTCAACCACTGAGAAATCCAGTGGAACTAAAAAAGCTTGCGCAATTGTCAACCATAGATTTCTACACACTATAGAATCAGGCCATAAGACTGATTTTGGTAATAATGAAACCATTCGTAAAAGTGTCAAAAATCACAAAGAACATCTCGTATCAGAGGCACTTTATTTTCTGAATAAAACAAAAACAAAGATTTATGCAGAATAAGATGGTACCATCATTTGTTTCATCAGATTGTCATCAGCTGCATACAGCCTTTGGCAAGCGATTAAGTTTTTAGATGGTTGGAGGCTTTGGATCTAGGTTTCTGGTAGTTGGCATATCTGCAGTCCTGAAGGAACTTTTGTCCCTCCTGAGATTCGAACCCGTGTCGCTCAGTGCTACAGTCAGAAACGTCACCACTGAGTTATTCGAGCTGACAATTGACGTGATGTAGGACTGTATTGGATACTTTGTCGGACACTAGTCAGTAACTAGCATCATGTGCTTAGTCCTTTTTGGAGCGGACAGAATTCTGTCAGTCAATTTTGCAATGAGTTTAAATTTATATGCAGAGCAGCTTTAATATATTTGCAAATGTGACATGATGTCAGTCGACAGGCGACACCAAACATAGTAAATAGTGCTCACAAATTACCCTTATATAGCTTAAACACGGAAGGTTGAACAGAAAACGTATGCTTGTATACTTTATTTTAATGGAATCCAAATTGTCAAGGATTTGTTTGCGGGGATCTGAAAGCCAGGATTTTAAATCTGCTTTCCAGTGGTCCTCATGTTGAAGAACTACGATTACGTTACTGTGTATAAGCTAAGATTTGGTAAATTCTGGTCTAAAGTTACCTCGATAAAGCTATTAACCAGTGAAAACAACATCGTTTTGTTCACTGGGAAATATGAAAATTCATCTGATAAAAAGTTCCCCATTCAATGAATAGATTGCAAACAATGTCGGCGATTTTGCATGTATCTGTATAGAATGCAGATGAGAGGTCGTTGGTATTAAATGCTTAGATTACAACTCGGTTGTACTCTTTCCGTTGGTGAAACCATTTGATTTCATTTTTGTGACAGTTACACTTAATACACTGGACAAGTTTTAATATCCATAAGTTCATGAGAACAAGATGCTTTATGAGTCCATTTACATGACATTTTTATTGTATACAACTGTGTCAAGTATGGGTAGTTTTATAACTAGTGCATTGGTAGTACTATAGGGATACTACTGATTGTTATAAGAATTCTGATATTCTTTGTAAAGGTTAATTTTAAAATACCTGTTTAGTCTTTACTTGTAACATGATACAGATAGTTACGTAACCCATACTGAGGAGACTTTTTCTTCACACTTGTGAGCATGTAAATGTTTGTCTATGAAAAAGAGTAACTAAGCTAAAAGCGTAACAATATACATTGCAGCCTAATCCCATTGGGTGAAAAATGAAGATAATGTCAAAGTATTCACTCCAGTATATTGAGTAGCGAACAGTTTTCCTAAAAGTA